TATAATTTTAAGTATGTGACTGTATGTTCCCTCATGATATAGGAAAACATAAGTGTGCTAAATTTTAAACAGAAACCTGTAGAGTTTCTCCTCTACACTATATAACTTATAGTAAAGGTTTTGACATTATATCTTGTGTCTATGCCAACTCCTGTTGAGCTAAAATTCAGAATTCGTAAAAGTATGTTTGTGTCTATTGAATATTATTGTGCAAACTTCTTGATAATATATTCAGGGTTTGGACAGTGTTCCAACAACTGAAGACCTATGTTGATCCCAGAGGATGATTGTCTATAAACAAATGAAAAAGGTTATGCACACAGGACAGTAGGTTGAGATGAAACGGACTTTGCTAATTGAGATAATAAATCACAATTACTGGGCACAAGCAATAGGAACAACAGACGGTCACACATCCAGTAGTTTGGTTCTGTTGGCACAGTTAAGTATTTTAATATGATATCTGCAGCTTAAGAGTACCTAATTGGATGTTTGCTTTGTAAAGCTGGGTCATATTGGAGGCTTCTATGGAAAGGAGGAATTACATATAATGTAGCAGATCTCTGCATTTTATGCCTTTTCAAATGTCTTTCAATGTCTATTTTTTGATCATTAAGTTTTCGATTTGCTTTTTATTTTTATATAAAGTTCAGTGTCATAATTAAAGAAACTCCCTACAAAATTATAATGTGATAGCATGTACCTTTGTTAAATGTGATCCCAGGCTACTTTGCTCCTCATATAGGCCAATCTTCCTACTCAACATGGATTTGGAAATGCTGACTAAAATATTGGGCACAAGGCTAATAAAAGTCACTCACACTGGTCAGTACTGACCAAGCTGGCTTTATGCCACATAAGGCCATGGATATCAATATCCACAGACTGTACACTCAAGTTGACACAAAATCATATTGGGTCTTGGGTTGTGGCAGCACTGGATCTGGAGAAAGCTTTCAATTCTGTAGATTAGGGACATGTGAAAAGTCTTATTGAAACTGGAGTTTGGACTGAAAATTATGTTAGAGTTCTCAGCCCTTTTATATTCTCAGAGGAACAAGACGGGGTTGCCCGCTCTCTGGGCCTTTTAACCTCATGGTAGAACCCATAGCAACAGCTCTTAGAATAAGTTTTGCAAGACCCTCATCCATCTCTGGCAACTGCTGTAGCTATATTAGACAAACATGCATCTTATTTGGGGCTTGGGGTTAACTAGAAAAAAATACAATGACTACTAGTCCATAACCTATTTAGGAGTGAAATTTACTAGAAATTTACCGGACTATATATCCTTGCATATTCTCCCTGTGATGGCTCAATCTAAGACCAGGCTGGTAGCATAGAGCAGTTTAACTCTATTCCTAATTAGGAGGGTGAATCTCATCAAAATGAAACTTTTACCTTTTACCAATGCAATGCTGCACTCATTCTTGGAGGTCACACTATGGGACCTAGATTTACCCAAAGTAGTATCCACCATTTTTGGCAGATTGCAGGCTCCTGGGCCTTTGATGCTTAAGGGTATGGCAAACTGGAGGATGGATGTGTTGAGTTTGGATGATCAGGACCTAGAGGATACCATCTCTTTTCCAGCACTTGGTGTGATCTCAAGATAGATTGAAACAATTCAAAATTGTACATTCAGAATATTTTATATCACAGAACTTCAGTACCTTAACTGGAGCTTATTGTTACAATTACACCTGGGGACCAGGCTGAATATTTACTAGACAGTATATGGTCTGGTCTTGCCACAAAATACAGTGCCTTGAAAAAGTATTGATACCCATTCAAATTTTCCACATTTTGTCATGTTGCAACCAAACACTTAAATATATTTTATTGGGATTTTATGTGATAGACCAACACAAAAAGGCACATAATTGTGAAGTGGAAGAAAAATGATAAATGGTTTTCAAACTTTTTTACAAATAAATATCTGAAAAGTGTGGCATGCATTTGTATTCAGCCCCCATGAGTCAATACTTTGTAGAACCAGTTACTTTAACTGAATATTGCGCGGTTATGCAACGCTGCACCCAAATTCAATTTATGTCCTTTTTTCCCACAAATGTAGCTTTCTTTTGGTGGTATTTGATAGCCTCTGCATTTTTTTATTTTTTGCTCTATAAACAAAAAAAGACCGACAATTTTGAAAAAAAAAATCCAATATTTTGTCTCATTGCTATAAAACATATCCAGTAAAAAAAATTCAAAAATCAAATTTTATCATAAATTTAGGCCAAAATGTATTCTGCTGCATGTTTGTGGTAAAAAAAAAAATCCCAATACGTGTAAATTAATTGGTTTACATGAAAGTTATAGTATCTACAAATGGCGCTATATATACTGGACTTATTTTTTTTTTTTTAATACTAGTAATGATGGTGAGCAGCGACCTATAGCGGGACTACGGCAGGCATTCTGACACTGGGGGGGAACTAACTAGCAGTGACAGTGATCAGTGCTAAAAAAAAGCACTGATACTGTACTAATGACACTGGACACGAAGGGGTTAACATCTGGAGCGATCAAAGGGTTAACTGTGTGCTGTTTTACTGTGTTGTCTGTGTGTGCTTTACTACATAAGCAAGCTGCTTTGTATTGCTCTGCTATGCAGAGAAATACAAAGCAACATGCTGGTGCTGACATGAGAGAGATATATATTGTTTACATACAGACCTCCTCCCGTCAGTGTTCCTCAGTGATCACCGGGTGCCGGTGGGGAATATCCAGCCAGGACCCGGTGATCAACAGCTGTGGGTAGGGTGGCATGCGCGCCCCTACCCAGAAATACAAAATCACTTACAGTCATGGCCGAAATTGTTGGCACCCTTGATATTTTTCCTGAAAATCAAGTATTTCACACAAAAAAAGGTATTGCATTAACACATGTTTTGCTATACACATGTTTATTCCCTTTGTATGTATTGGAACAAATATAAAACAGAGGCAGAAAAGCAAATATGACATAATGTCACACAAAACCCCAAAAATGGGCTGGACAAAAGTATTGGCACCCTTAACTTAATATTTGGTTGCACACCCTTTGGAAAACATAACTGAAATCAGTCGCTTCCTATAACCATCAATAAGCTTCTGACACCTCTCACCCGGAATTTTGGACCACTCTTCCTTTGCAAACAGCTCCAGGTCTCTCTTATTGGAAGGACACCTTTTCCCAACAGCAATTTTAAGATCTCTCCACAGGTGTTCAATGGGATTTAGATCTGGGCTCATTGCTGGCCACTTCAGAACTCTCCAGCGCTTCTTTGCCATCCATTTCTGAGTGCTTTTTGACGTATGTTTGGGGTCATTGTCCTGCTGGAAGACCCAGGATCTTGGACGCAAACCCAGCTTTCTGACACTGGGCCCTACAGTGCGACCCAAAATCCTTTGGTAATCCTCAGATTTCATGATGCCTTGCACACAGTCAAGGCACCCAGTGCCAGAGGCAGCAAAACAACCCCAAAACATCATTGAACCTCCACCATATTTTACCGTAGGTACTGTGTTTTGTTCTTTGTAGGCCTCATTCCGTTTTCGGTAAACAGTAGAATGATGTGCTTTACCGAAAAGCTCTATCTTGGTCTCATCTGTCCACAAGACGTTTTCCCAGAAGGCTTTTGGCTTACTCAAGTACATTTTGGCAAACTGTAGTCTTGCTTTTTTATGTCTCTGTGTCAGCAGTGGGGTCCTCCTGGGTCTCCTGCCATAGCGTTTCATTTCATTTAAATGTCGACGGATAGTTCGCGCTGACACTGATGCTCCCTGAGCCTGCAGGACAGCTTGAATGTCTTTGGAACATGTTTGGGGCTGCTTATCCACCATCCGGACTATTCTGCGTTGCAATCTTTCATCAATTTTCCTCATCCGTCCACGACCAGGGAGATTAGCTACAGTGCCATGGGTTGCAAACTTCTTGATAATGTTGCGCACTGTGGACAAAGGCAAATCTAGTTCTCTGGAGATGGACTTGTAACCTTGAGATTGTTGATATTTTGCCACAATTTTGGTTCTCAGGTCCTCAGACAGTTCTCGTCTCCTCTTTCTGTTGTCCATGCTTAGTGTGGCACAGACAGACACACAATGCAAAGGTTAAGTGAACGTCTCTCCTTTTTATCTGCTTTCAGGTGTGATTTCTATATTGCCCACACCTGTTACTTGCCCCAGGTGAGTTTACAGGAGCATCACATGCTTGTAACATTCTTATTATATCCGCAGTTGTGAAAGGGTGCCAATACTTTTGTCCAGCCCATTTTTGGAGGTTTGTGTGACATTATGTCGAATTTGCTTTCTTTCCTCCCTTTTTTTGTTTTGTCCCAATACACACAAAGGGAATAAACATGTGTATAGCAAAACATGTGTTAATGCAATACGTTTCGTGAGAAATACATGATTTCCTGGAGAAATATCAAGGGTGCCAACAATTTCGGCCATGACTGTATATATATATGTTAGTTTGCACAGCCCTGCTGCCCTGTAGCAGTAGTTCTGCTATAGGGCAGTCGGAAATCTGTTAAATTACACACAGGTGGACTCTATTTGCTGATTGGGTGACTTCTCAAGGCAGTTGGTTCCACTAGACTTTAGTTAGGGGTTCAGAGCAAAGGGGGCTGAATACAAAGGCATGCCACACTTTTCTGATATTTATTTATAAAAAAATTTGAAAAACATTTATCATTTTCCTTCCACTTCACAATTATGTGCGGCTTTGTGTTGGTCTATCACATAAAATCCCAATAAAATACATTTACGTTTTTTGTTTATAACATGAGAAAATGTGGAAAATTTCAAGGGGTATGAATACTTTATCTAGGCACTGTAAGTGTTTGATCTGTCTATATATGTCAACATAGCAGTAACCCTTTATTCTGTTATAAACAAGGTACCGTATTTTTCGCTCCATAAGATGCACTTTTTTCCCCCAAAAATAGGGGGAAAATGTCAGTGTGTATTATGGAGCGAATATGGAGCAGCCGGTCCGGTATTCCCACTGCTGCCGCCGTGTCAGAATAACGGGCCGGCCGCTTGTCTCTTCTCTGCAGCAGGACCTTACCTGTTCCTCGGTCCAGTGCTGAGACGGCTTTCTGCATCGGCATCTTTAGTGTGGGCTCTCGGCTGTGACAGCCGGGTGCACAGTGCGCATGCACTAGAAGCACTGCTGTTTGTGAATAGTACGGCGTCTTCTGAGACACATGACAGGTCCCAGAAGACGCCGGACCAATCACAAAGCGCAACGCTTCTCGCGCATGCGCAGTGGGCCCCCGGCTGTCACCCGGGTGCCCACACTAAAGGGAGGACATCTCTGCGGAAGTCGGAGCGGGTATCTGTCAAATTCAGGTACCCGCTCCCCCTCCCTCCCCAAAGGTTTGCATTCTCTTAGTCATCCCCTGCACTGTCTGCAGTCTCTGGTCATCCCCTGTACTGTCTGCAGTCTCTGGTCATCCCTGTACTGTGTCCGCAGTCTCTGGGCATCCCTGTAGTGTGTCCGCAGTCTCTGGTCATCCCCTGCACTGTCCGCAGTCTCTGGTCATTTCCTGCACCATGTCCGCAGTCTCTGGTCATCCCCTGTACTGTCTGCAGTCTCTGGTCATCTCCTGCACTGTCTGCAGTCTCTTGGTCATCCCCTATAATGTCCACAGTCTCTGGTCATCCCCTGTACTGTCCGCAGTCTCTGGTCATCTCCAGTACTGTCCGTAGTTTCTGGTCATCTCCTGTACTGTCCGCAGTCTCTGGCCATCTCCTGTACTGTCCGCAGTCTCTGGTCATCCCCTGTACTATGTCCGCAGTCTCTTGGTCATTCCCTATACTGTCCACAGTCTCTTGGTCATCCCCTATACTGTCCGCAGTCTCTGGTCATCTCCTGTACTGTGTCCGCAGTCTCTGGTCATCTCCTGTAGTACGTCCGCAGTCTCTTGTCATCTCCTGCACTATGTCCGCAGTCTCTGGTCATCTCCTGTACTGTCCGCAGTCTCTGGTCATCCCCTGTACCATGTCCACAGTCTCTTGGTCATTCCCTATACTGTCCGCAGTCTCTTGGTCATCCCCTATACTGTCTGCAGTCTCTGGTCATCTCCTGTACTGTGTCCACAGTCTCTGGTCACCTCCTGTACTATGTCTGCAGTCTCTGGTCATTTCCCTTTACTGTGTCTGCAGTCCATTGGTTCAGAATATTTTTTTTCTTGTTTTCCGCCTCTAAAACCTAGGTGCGTCTTATGGTCAGGTGCGTCCTATGGAGCGCAAAATACGGTATATGTCTATAAAGTTAAAACAAAATACCAGCCAAAACTTCAAAATGTTTTTCTACACAGAGTGGGGAAAGGTTCTGTCAGGTTTTATGGCTGTTCATATCCATCTTGGTGTTATAGTGGTCACTTGAAAAGAATGTGAGGGGAAATCCAATATTTTACAGTTAACAATAATGGGAAGTGAGAGAAAATCCTCTATAGATGACATCTGTTTCTATGCCAAATATCAAAGTTTGGATCTCTCCTCACTTTGAGGAAGTTCCTTTCTTTCTTCCTTTCTTGACTCCCCAATAGAGCACAGTTAACAATACAAATATAACAAGAAAAACCTAACAACCAACTGTAATTTACATTTACTGTATACACACACTTTGTATATGGTATATATGCTGTATATTTCATCTCTTCCAAAGCCTACAGGACTAAAAATCAATCCTAGTAAATGTTTTCTGTTCCAGTCTCAACAAAAGATATTGGATTGTTTTTTGTCGACATAAAAGTCTTTTTATAAATCTCCCATTCAAATGTCTTAGCTCAATTTTCATTATTGCCGATATTGAAAATTTTCCATAAAATGATTGTCATTTTGTAGAGCTTATTATAAAATATTGGACTTGATTTAAGACCGCACCCATTGTTATTATTGACTGTGACACATTCTGTTATGTAGAGCTAACTGAAATTGTGTCTAAATAATAATCCAGCAAATAAAGGGAAATGGCAGTAATTTATTCACAAAAAAAGTTTTTATTTTCTGCAACTAGGAACTTTAAAAAATCTTGAAGGTAAAGATGTGTTGCCTCTTATCATTTGGTCAGTTCTCCGCTGTCATTTTTCTACAGCAGACTTAAGAGTAAATGTCAGTATCTGATAAGGTGCCTTTGGTGATATACTGTATATAGAATTTGACATCTTCGACAGTTTACTGCTTACCAGCCCAGCAGTACTCAAGTACTGATCTAGGTTCATTCCTAGGCCTAACAACATTCAAGTAAAGATAAAAGAAGACTGCACATTTGTCCACCACAAATATTGTCTTTTTTTTTAAAAGGAATAGCACAGTGTGCTCAGTGCTTTACCAAGGAGAAGTTTCTAGAGGACAGGTATCTCTAGTCTTCTTTTTCTTGGATTGGATGGTGTTAAGACTGGAAATGAGCCTAGACCAGCACCTGACTACCTCTGTGTTGTTTAGGTCTTAACAGACTTGGAGCAGGTGTCAAATTGTTCCCATCTTTCATTTGTAAAGGTATCATGGGTGACCTTTGACAGCTAGGTGTTTATTATACAGGGAGCAAGGGTAAGACTTCTCTATCCCAGACTCCAGAAAAATACTAGACAGACCACATACATAAGTCATACTGTATCTACATTCACATTTATATGGCCAAGACTGGGATGAGAAAAAGACAAAGCTCCTTAATAGGGTAATTCCTAGGGATGGTGCAAATTGCACCTTTCGTTGTGCCTATATTTGCCTCTGTGCCTAGCATATTGAGTTTGCAATACAAAAAAGCAGACTACTCCCCCAGGGTTCTTGGCCCAGGCACCCCACTTCTGCCACATTTTGGATACCCAATGTGGATTCATAGGTTTTTGAAATGATGCTTTATTTGGATGTGTTCTAGGAATAAAATAATATGTCCTTCATTTGAAAGTCAGCATAACATTGCATGGTTCCTCTTAATACTAACACCCTGGCTGCCTCTCAATTTCTCTACCTAATTCCATTTTTTGACATAAAGCACACCCCCTACTCACTCTGGTGGTAACACCCTTAACCCTTAACCTATTTCACTACTCTTGTTAACACCCTCTCATTTAGTCCTCATCAACTCTTCTCTGTCATTAAGGCTCTGCTTTGAGTCTCTGTTTACCCAACAAACCTTTACTTTCTCTATCAACTAACCCCCACACAAGTATTACCTTTTGTATCCTTCCATTTTAGATTGTAAGCTCTCATGAGCAGGTTCACCCTAACCTTGTTGTCTTGAATTGTATTGTAACTGTATTGGCTCTCTTTACATTGTAGAGAGCTGTGCAAGCTGCTGGAGCTGTATAAATCCAGATTGGAATGTTGCACATTCTTGGTTTGGATTGGCTTGAGGTTATTTTCTATTAGCTTGCAGCACCATTATCTCTTGTCCCAGCTCTGGGTGGTCATGTGCAAAAACAACTACCCTGTTCCACTTTTGCCTATGAGCAGTAAGGATTATACTATGATAATCTGTCCTGCAGGTGGATTGATACATTTGATGACATTCATCAATCCACTAGTAAGACAGAGTATCATGGTTTTGCCCACTTTCATAAATGTGTTGATTTATTTGCTTTTCCTCTAAGGCCTCATGCACACTGCTGTTCGTAAACGTGAGTTCAGGAGCGTTTGGCGTTTTTTTGTCAAAGTCCCTGAGCTCATGCACACTCCATGCACACATAGGCTTTTATCAGAGTTTAGCAGCAGCAGAGTTTAGGATCAGTTAAATGTCCCTCTCCTGAACACAGAAGAATTGCGTTCAGAAGAGGAATGTTTTGGCCAAAGACTGCCAAATGTGGCAAATATGTGGGTAAATGCATCTAAGTTCTAACCACGTTTAGTGTTTGGGCATTTATTCATTTCAATGGCATGTACTCTGGCCAATGAAATAAACGGCCAAGTTAAAAGCGGTACCGCGTTTACAAGCATCTTTGCCATGTTTAGCGTTTTTCTGCTTTCAGTTAAATAAACGTTCCAGTGTACAAGAGGTCTCATAAGGCACTCTTATTGATGTTCTGTGCTTCAGCAATACCTTTTATCAGAATTTAATTAAGTGGTAGTTTAAAAGTTGCCACGCATATGTTGTTATTAACGTGGGTGTGAATCAGTCAAATCATGATGCTTAGGGGGCCTGTGACACATTGCTCTCTGAAGCGTGTTAGCACTTCTACTTGTAATAATAGTAAGGTGTAATATTGTGGATGAGTGGGTTATTTAAGTAATGCTGAGTCGGTGCTGCCAACCTGTCACCTTTTATTAGTTAAAAAGGGGGTTCTGAGCTACTATAAAAATAGCAGATTAGCATGATACCAATTACATGTACATGTTGTTTAGAATTTTAAAGTTGGAAAACTGCATAATGGAATTATTCTAGAACACTTAAACCAGCGATAGGCAATAGAGGCCGTTGGGCTGTTATTAACCATAGGACCACAAAAACATATATGCAAGATAACCTTTAAACCTATTTTAAAGTGCTGTCCCCCTATTGCTGCTCATTGCCCTACATACATTTTAGCATAAATCGTTCTGTAAATACCTTTTGTTTTCTATGTGGTCATATATCCGCAACACTCTGGATGTTTTTTACATGTGGAGGGCTGACAATGGGACTAAATCACCTAGAGCAATGACGTCATCCAATGGCATCCACTGCTCTAGGTGTTGTGCTAAAATGTATGCGAGGCAAAGGTGAGGCAACATTTCGAAGTATGTTTACTCATTTCCTTCTAATTTAAAATTTAAAGGAAAAGTCCAACTTGAACTGCATATCATGCCAAAAAAGAGCATAGGCCTTGCAATACAGGCAGCCTCCAGGTTACAAACAAGATAAGTTTTGTAGGTTTGAATCTGTATGTAAGTTAGAACTGGTACATATTTTAAGCGTAACTCCAGACATAAAAAATGTAAGTTTTTTGGATAGCATAGGGAATGGTTAACACCCCTGTAACGTTTGTTTTGCTGCCTGTGCCTCTGTTCAGAAGATTTAATCTCACTTTCTGCCCTGTAGCAATTAGATTTTGAAAATTTTGGGTTGCTCTACAAACAAGGATTGGTGATAAAGCTTCAGTTGAGACAACTTTCTTCCCATAACTCTTACAGGAGTGAATTTCCCTTCCTAGGAGTAGATTTCCTCTCACTTGTTGTCCCCCTCCGTTTGTAAGTATGAGTCAGATGTATGTAACTCAGGGGCTGCCTGTACATGTGAATTTCCCCAGGTTTTATTCGTTTAAAGACCTTGCAAGTACTGAAAAATACCTGTTGATCTACCAAAAATGCATTCAGTCCCTATTTTCCTCTTGTGGAATACCACTTGCCTTTTTGTGGGTTGAAATTGCAATAATATGGGAGGTGATTTACAAAACGAGTTTAGAATATCCACTCATAATTTGTGAGAATATTCACTTCAGTTATGCAGTCATGTGAAATACATCTGCACATTTTGACTGCCAACATTAGTATGATACAGAAACCAAGCACAGAACACTTGATCTGGGAAAATTATAGACCCTATTCATTACTAAATTTGGTTGTGAAACTCCTGGCAAAAATACTTGAAGCCAGACTAAATGAGGTGATCCTGAGATTGCTGGGGGTTCTACTTCCCAAATTGCTTTATCTGTTCAGAAATCTACTTGTCTCTGCTACTCCACACATTCTGAAATACATTCAGTGGATCTGTATAAAATACCTTTGGTTAGACTCAAGGTCGAAGACCATCTCTGCTGGGACCTAGCAATACTACAGATCACACACTA